GGTGTAGGGTGGCTCAAGGCTTCAGGTGGACAGAAGTTGACTTGACAGCGGGAAGTGAACTCACTGACAACCAAACTGGGTGCCATTGTTCCGTCTCGGCTTCCTGGCTGGAGTCCACGTGACTCGCGTTGTGCTTGGCTCGACACTTAACAGGACATGGCTCGCAACCGACACCATTGGTGCGTCTGCTGCCGTCGTCTAATCGGATTGTCTGTTTGAAGTGTGTTTGGTGCTGAGTTATCTGCGGGGTAATGGCTGATTATGACGCGTGGCAGTGAAAGCCGCAAGGAAGCTGTATCGCCGATGCCGCCTTATCTTTGCACGATAGCTAGCTGTTTGTGGCGGTATGTTGTTAACACAAGGTGTAGGCGCCTTGACCCTGAATGTTTGCTTAGGGCATTAAGGTTTTCAGGTAACTCCCGCTTTTCTTCTTTTCTTATTCTTTATCTCATAGGTCCTCATGGTTGTATGTCAGCGAAGCATCTGTTCAAATGGCTGATGATGATGTAGTCCCGCGAAGTGCTAACCGTGAATACGCACCGCGGTTTATTTCGGTATAACCGCCTTCCGTTCAAAGTCAAGTCAGTTCCTCCTATTTTTCAGCTGTTGATGGGTTTTATGATCCCTGGTGTAACCAGGTGTGAAGTGTAGCTCGACGACATCACTATAATGGGTCGCACCAGTGAGGAGCTATACGGCAAGATCTTTGGGGTGCTACGTCGTGTTGAGGAATACGTGTTCCTGTTGCAACCGTACAAGTGTCAATTTTTTCTCGGAACTGCAGTTTCTCGGTTTCATCATCGACAAAATTGGTTGCCGCGCCGACCCGAAAAATGTGCATTTAGTCCAAGGTATGTCAGCTCCGGAAAATATGTCCTCTCTGCAGTCGTTCCTCGGGTTAGTAACTCACTACGGCGCATTCTTACCGTCCTCCACGATATCAAAGCACCACCGAATAACTTTTTCAGAAAAATCAGTGTTTAGTCGTGGTCGCCAGAATGTAAACGTGCATTCAATCACAAGATGCTTTGTTCCGACCTCCTGCACATTTTCTTTCCTAGCTGCCGATCGTAGTCGCTGCAAATGCTTCCAGCCAAGACATCGATGCCGTTATCTCCCACGTGTTTCCAGACGGATCGGGTAAAGCAATCATGCATGCGGCTCACACGCTTACCACAGCTGAGAAGGGTTATGCTCAAATCGAAAAAGAAGCTTTGGCTCTGGTGTTCGCTATGAAGAAGTTCTACAAGATTGTCTGCGGTCACCACGTCCGTTTGCTAACCGGCTATAAACCGTTACTTGCTATTTTCGGCTCCTAAATGGGGTATCCCGACGTATTCTGCCTGCGGATTGCGGCACTGGGCACCCATCCTATCGAACTATAAATATAAAGTCTGTCACCAGCGAACACAGGATTTCGGGCAGGTAGACGCCCTCTCTCCCTTACTCGGTGCAAATCGGCAGGAGCAAGATGACACTATCATCGTGACGGTCTCCCTGGAATCAGATGTTCGTGCCCACCTGATTGCGGCGGTTCGTTCAGTTCCGGTTACTCTTCGTAACAATAAAAGAAAAACGAACATCTGTCCTTACTTCTAATAGGCAATTACATGCCTTTGAAATCAATGGTCCACGGCAGCTTTATATCCGTCCAGACAGCCTGTTTATAATTGCTTCTTGTCTAATGTTTGCTGATCGCATTGTCATCCCTTCTTCACTTCGACCGATCGTCTTGCGTCAGTTTCACACAGGCTATCCTGGTGCATTACGGGTGAAGGCAACCGTCCGTGGCTACGTTTACTGACCGGGTATTGACAAATAAATAGAGAAGTTGGTCCAACAATGTTCCCGTTGCCGACAGGTGGCCAAATATCCTCCCCATATAGTCACACGAATGTGGACTCTTGACAGCTGGACGAGAAAGCTGATTCACAACCCCCGCTTGTTCGCCACAAATCGTACTTGGGACAGACACTGCGAGCGTGTTGCCAGGGTCTAGCCGAAAGCTGATGAAATCGCGCATCAGACAGCATGCTTGTTACCAAGGTCTGACCGGAAGCTGATGAAATCGCGCGTTGGACATCACATGCGTTGCCATGCTCCGGGTAGGCGGATGAAGACTGGCGTGCCCGAACAAGACGGCGAACTGGCCAGACGGAGCGGACAATCAAGTGTGGAGCATGGGCTTACAGCCAAATCCGCCAGACGATGTTTAGAGGATTGGTGAGACCGACATATAAATATGAGCGTTCTCGACCCTAATACAACTCTGGTCTGTTGAGTCTTCTTTCTTCCTTCCTGTCGGGTTTGCCAAGGCGTCAAACAAAGCATGCGTATGGGCGCAGATCTACCAGCAGGCGTGAATCAGCCAGTCGATTGCGGGTACAGCGTTATAACAACGCTACTCGGTAAGCCATGGTCGCGTTTACATGTGGATTTCGCTGGCTCATTCAATGGCATTATTGATCTAGTCGTAATTGACGCAAAGTCCAAGTGTTCCGAGATAATCCCATTGTCACAGGCGACAAGGTCGTCCACCATGTTAGCTCTGCACAGAAGTTTCAGCGAGCGCGGATTTCCAGATACTCTAGGTCCAGTTAACTGAACGCAGTTTGCATTCACACTTTTCCAGGACTTCTGCTGCCCGAATATTATTAACCACGTTCGCACCCCACCATACCGCCTTCATTCAAACAGTCAGGTCGAACGGTTTGTAAACACGTCAAACAGATCATTTAAAAACGCGGAGGGGGAAACTACGGATGAAAAAACCCCAATGTTTCTTTATGCTTTACAGAAGCACTAAACCTAGCAAAATCACATGGATCTTCCACTACCGAATGCCTGATGGGACGAAAACCACGCGCCATTTTCGATGCAATGATCCCGTCGGAAAAATCGTCGCCAATCCCGATACACACATCAAGGTCGATAATTTCATTTGGTGATCTGGTCTACACTCGTGGTTACAGACAAAGTCATCCATCATGGGCCCAGCACTAGTTGTAGGTTACGGTGGTTCTTTAATGTACGAAATGACGTCTGGATAGCATGAATGGATATGTCCTCGCCACGACAATGTCACAGAAGAAAGAAGGGCTCAGCAATACGCCGCCACTCAGTACTGACGCTTCGCTGCCGCGCAACCATCACTAGTCGTACGTGGGCTAAGGATATTGCGAGGGTCGCTCGTAGGATCGAACCCGCGCCCTTAGATTACAATGCAGGCGTGTAGTCCTTAAGGCTACATGCCGGCTACAATATCGCAGATATCGAAAATGAAGAATTGCTGTTTGAAATACTGTTGGGCATGTTCGGGCTGCCGCCGAGCTCATTGACTGAAGTACGACGCACACCCGCAGATCGGACCCCACGGCAACTCAGAAGATGTACTGAACGGAAACGTCGTTCAACAAGGTCCTTGCAGCTGGATCCACGCCGTCCAACGTACGGGATTTCTTAAGAGGGGATGTGTTTGGCAAACGCCAGTTTTCCCAAAAATTATACTGGAACCAACCAGAATGTAGATTTATTACTAGCCGTCATCTTGACTTTAAAACGGCGCGTGCAAATTCGTTCACGCCTCAGACTAGGACCGTGATTGGCCAATCTCTCAAGGTCGTTAGTAGAACTACTAATAACTACGTGTTTCATTGTTAAGTGCCTGAGTTGTCATCAGAGTATATCTCCTTCGGACGTCCTGTTTTCTGTCTTGTTGGGGTTGGGTCTATCGATTGGAAGCCGAATCTTTGTTTGTTCCGTGAGCTGATTTGTGTTCCTTTCGTGGGTCTAACGTGTTCTGACTGAATCGCAATAGTAGCCGTTGGATAATAACGCATATAGTGACCAGGAACTAACAATATGCCTACTGCATCAGATCGTTTGCGAGGGTGAAGTTACAGAGATGAAGAGGCGTTTGCAGGAAAAGCTGTGAACATATCATCTAACCCAAGCAAAAGCGTAGAGTGGAGACCGGCCTGAATACGAAAGCAACCGAAGGTGTGTGTACATCGAATCAATGGATAGTGCATCATTATGATACACATGCGGATATGATGTTATTTCCGCCAATTCTACATGAACAGTGTATACATTGAAGAAATTGAGGCTGGTTCCTTATCTATCATGACTCTCATGCACACACTTCGCGATCTTCTTCATTCGTGTGTGAACTGGATGTCGGCTGTATTAATGGAGCTGTGAGTGGCAACACAAGTCACTCGTTGTCTTCATGTAGGTGCAGGCGTAATCTACTTCTATGTGGTCACTGAGAATCAAATCTGAAAATGGATGTTGCGATCTACTGGTATAACTGTGCAAATGTAACAGGCTACACGCCTATCGCCATAGGATGGAAGTTCCATGAGTGACTCACTCTAGTAGAAGTGGGCCCCATGCACTATTACATCACTGATGTTGTAAATGCTGAAAATGAACCCATTAGGGTTCATAAAGCTTATTTTGATTTGACTCGACATCCGAAAAAAGCAAACCACCCCACGTAAAATGTCCGAGATTATTTCTGACTACCGGTAGAAGTATGGCTGGGTTGACCCAGCATTATTATCGATGAAGAAAAGTATCCATACCAATACGAAGCGACATGTGACAGGGTAACAGATACTGCATAATTCTCGCGCAACTCGATAATCAACGGTTGCTTGTCTTGTTTCGCCGGCCCGTAGCCTTTAGGATCACGCCGGCTGGTAGTCTTAAGGATCATTGCCAGCCCATAGCCTTGAGGATCATCGCTTGCCTGTAGCCTTAAGGATCACATGCCTGCCTTGTAATCCCAGGGCGCAGGTTCTAATCTGAGTAGGGACCAGGCGACCCTTGCAGTATGCGTAGGTCACGTGTGACTATTTGTGCTTGCGCGACAACGAAGCGTCGATACTGCGTTTTGGTGTACTGACGATGCATTGTTTCACATTTAACTATATGAAATGGCTATTTTCACCTTTTTATCTCTCTGGTTTATCCATTTTAATTTCCACTCCTAGGCCTATCCAGTTTGCACGATTTAGTTCCATAGATCTGCTACAGCTGGGTCTGACAGAAGCTGAAGTCAACCGACTGGTGTGTCGTTTACTGGACCTTGGATTACCGATAGGAAATCTACTCCCTACCGGAGACGATTCTCTCCACAACACAGATCAAATGTGGCGCTCTCAGCTGGACTTGAGGCCATCTCAGAATGCAAACTACCGACATACTAGATCCAAACTCCTCCGAAAGGTTGGTTTCGTTCATTGCACTTATTTGTCTTCTGTGCAAATGACAACCTTGTTAGTCACTTGATGACCGTGTTTGTTATCACAATTCACCTCTCATGGACCGTTTTAGCACGACTTTCGCTGCGTTCCTCTTCTTTCTCACTTTATTTTTTCAGTTGTTTGGGAAGAAGCACGACTTTTACTCTAGTGCACCGGTTTCGCCCTTACATCGGTATCATCAGTTTGATAAAGCCCCGCTGGATAATTCGCGTTGTTCACGTCCTCGTCAGATGTCAACTAGACACGACTCTCACGTTTCTCCGGAATTCTCTGCTGCCAAGTCTTATGAACCAACTGTATCACAGACAAACGCGCTTCCTCGCATTTCACGTGACAATGATGTTCATCGCGATCGGGATTATTCACTAGAACTTCCTATGGATCCGACGGCCTTACCCACACCGCCTTTAACCTGCTTAATTCCGGAGCGGGATATTAAAGTGCATTCTCGCTTGGGTGTTGGATCATTTGGCATCGTGCGCCGAGCGGATTGGACCACCCCCTCTGGTGATGTGGTAGGTTTTGGCTTTTCCACAATCTATGACAGTTTTTTCATTTTCAACCTTATGTGCCCCAGCCACCAATAGTCAGTTTGAAGCTTATTCACGTGATTGGGTTCTCACTCGTTCGCTTCAAAATTGGAATGACCTACTTTCGCATTGCAACAATGTGGACGCCTGTACCACAGTGAGATCACTATTGTGATTCTAAAGCTGAATTGTGTGTCTTCGACTTTTGCACCCAAACGATTTACCCTCTCATTGACAGTTATTCCACAACGACATGACTCACCACCTTGCATTAAAGCGCAGTACGGACAACTAATAAAAATTTAGATGGATTCGTTTTCATTGGCGTCGTTACCTTAGTACTTCCACCATGCTGCGTTTTCTTACTCTTATGCACGTGCAACATAACCCCCGGAATCGTTGAATACATGCTGTTAAAGCACCATAAGAATTGAGCTGTCGCCTTTCCCATTTTTAGTCTCGGCATTATTCAATATATCGCTGCGCTTCCAGGTCAGTTTGTTCAGGTTTTCTGTGTCATATATCGTAATTTTTTGTCTTCAGTTGTTTACTTCAGTATTATTTTTGATTCTGAACTCTCCTAGTAATATATTTTAAACCATTTTCAGCAGTAATTGTATCGTTCTAATCTGCCCTTATTCTCGTCTGCCCTGGTCGTATTTTGCTTGTGTCCTCTTCACGCCAGTTTGTCTCGTTCTTTTCATTGTAAAAGTGTTCTATGCTATAAATATTTGTGTAATTGACTCACATTAGTTCTTTGGATTTACTTCCTCATAACTACCTGTACTAGTTTATTATAATTTCTGTGATTCTACATTACGCTGATTTGGTCGTATCGATTGGTGCCTATTTTTTTGAAATGGCAAAGCAAACACCTTGTGGTACTTTATCCAAAGTCGTTGGACATTGCGCAAATGCGATTTATGCATCGTAAAGTTTTATATTTCGTGCATTGGTCTGTTTGTGGACCAATTCCGCGTAATTCAAGGGATTCAGCACGATTTTTTGAAGACCATTTGTAGGCAATGTCAGTCTAAACGTGGGCAGAATGAAGTCGAAAAGCCTGACAAGTGGATCAGTATAGCGAAGTGCTCTAAAGCGCCCAGCTCGATTTGTCCTACACCACAATCAGAGAAACAACCTTCGTTTAGTATGACAGCGAATCTATCCCTGGAGCAAAATGCTATCGCTCCGGCAGGCTTGCCTTCAAGTCCTACTTTTTTGAGTTGACACTAAAGCTCTAATTTGCAATAAGAAAGTTGGTGATAACGAATGGAAAATACTAATACCAAGGAAATCAAGAACAATATCCAGCGACCTGGGGCGCCACAGCCTCATGGTAGCTCACGCACATGAATATTGTAATTCCAATCCTCAGGTGCTCTATGAACATGACGTCGAGTTTTTGCAATCTCTGATTGATAGACTGATCGATGTGGATGAGGGCGGGCTCAAAGTGAAACAGATCACTCGTCTCTGAAAGAGATCTGAGGGTAAAATTCGACCTATGAGAGTGAATTTTGTCCTAAGTCAATATTATCCCGCCTTAATTGGCTGAAAGGTCTCAAGATCCACGTGCGAGCTGACTTAGACTCAGCAGACAGAGAGAAACTCAAGTCTGCAATGATTGAACTAAAGCGATGCACGGACGATGGAGAAACAAATCTCCGTAGTATAAATTTTCGGGTAGACACCCGGATTCCTCCGCGACTCCGGATCAACAGGTTTCTGCTGCTTAAGGCGCGCCCAACGGTTCCTACCGCGGCCTGCTCATAGCCTTTACTAACGTCTGTAGTCTGATGAACAAACGCGATGAGTTGTAGTACTTTGTAACCTCTCAGCGGCTAGACGTATTAGGCCTTGCTGGCACATGGTTAAACTCTGACGTAACCGCCAAAGAAGTGGAAATCAGCGGCTACTCATGCTTCCGCTGTGATAGCCCATCAAATGCTCGCGGTGACGTTCTGCTTTACATCAAGTCTACCTTGTGTGGGAGACTAGTGAGCCCCTACCGAATTGCTGATGGTCTATGTGAGCAGTTATGGTGTTCGATTCACCTCGGAGGCTGCCAGATGCTCGTAGGCGTGGTATATCACAGTCCACTGAGCTGCTGCTTGGACTGGTTGCCGCATGTCCGCAACCACATGAGTCGTCAGCTGTTCCTACTCATGAGTGATTTCAACTTACCCCGAATACAGTGGCCTGAGGCTGAACTTCTCCCCGTTCATTGGGAAGTCGAGAGGAAGTTTACGGACTTGATATTTGAAACCAGGGCCACACAGCACATCAACCAACCGACGCGCATAACTGTGCGCGTGACTCCATCGTGCTTAGACCTGCTTTTGACCAACTGTGAACAACGTGTGCATCACATTCAAGTCTTAGAGCCCCTGGGAGTGAGTAACCACTCGATGATCATAGCCAGCTTGGAATTGCCGCTGCCGTATTCACCCCCGCTGGAGCCAGCCTACAACTATTGGTAGGCGGACTTTAATGGCCTCACTCGAGCAGTGCACTAGATGGACTGGTTTTTACCAGCGGATTCGTCTATTGAAAACTGTTGGACTATCATTAAAGAGGGAGTGAAATTATTGTGCACCAGATTTGTACCCCTCAAGTATAGGAAAGTTGCGCCAGTCAAACCACGTTTTTTCGTCTGCCCGATGACGAGGCAGACTATGGAACAAATTCATGTTATCTGGTTCTGATGAGGACTACAAAGCGTATAAGGTACAGCGAACTCTGCAACGACGCGAAAATAAAAGAGCGCCGAAGCTTCGAAGAGCAGCTTGCAACTGCCGCAAAAACTGCTCCCAAGAGGATCTTCGCCTACGTGAAGCGGCGCCTGAGGCCTGCATGCAAAGTACCGGTGTTAGAAGGCTCAGATAGACAGCTCCTAACCTCGAGCACAGATGGTGCGTCCGCATTGGCAGCGCACTTCGCCTCCGTATTTGCAAGTGATCAGGTGTCTGTAACCAGTTCGACGGGTACCGCTCCCGCTGAACTAGACAGTCTGGACTGCAGCATTGAAGCTACTGGCAAGTCTTTACGGGATGAAGCCTGCTAGGCCAGATGGAATCCACCCACTGATTTTCAACTCCCTATCGGCCATCATCTCGCCTTCTGTAACTGAGCTGTTCAACAGGTCACTATCCACTGGACTATTACCGGGCGACTGGAAAAGTTCAGTCATAAAGCCAATACCGAAAGGTGGTGACCCAAGCAAAATGGATAACTACCGGCCGATCTGCCTGACCGCTGTTTTGGCAAAGACGCTCGGGAAGATCGTGAAGAAGAGTTTAATGCAGCTGCTCGAGTCGAGAAGCCTCGACGCCCGCACAGCATGGCTTCGTGAAAGGTCGCTCTTGCATCACCAACCTACTGTTGACGAGGCACGAGTGGTTACAAGCGCTGAACCAAGGCAAGTCGGTCGACGTCATTTACATTGCCTTCAGTAAACCTTTTGACAAGGTAAATCATGCATTGCTCCTCGACAGGCTGAGGGTGTGCAGTGCTGGTGGCTCGCTACATCGATGGATCAAGAATTTTCTTGTTGATCGAAAGTGGAGGGTCAAGGTGGACAGCCATTTAACCGACTGGTATCCATCCATCAGTGGCGTGCCCCAAGGCACTATACTGAGGCCAATTTTGTTTCTCATCCATGTAAACGATGTGCCTCAGTTACTCCAATCACCTTGTGCGTTGTCCGCAGATGAATTGAAGGTGTGGAGAGTAATCCGCACACCCAATGATTGTGACCTGCTTCAGCAGGACCTCGACCGCCTCTCCACGTGGTCTGCAGAGGTCAACCTTCCGATCAACCCGGTCAAGTCGCAATTCATGAGGCTGGGTAAGTGTGAGCACAGTCGTAGCTACACTGTGTCTGGTCAACCGTTTCATCCCGCGCCTTTCGTGCGAGGCATCAGTATATTTTCACGATACGATCTAAAGTCTATGGGCAACACGAATAGGCTTTACCAAAACAGCCTTTGTATGCTTCGGGCGCTCAGGCGCAGCTTCAGCAATTTTGGTCCGAGGAGATTGCCACTCGCCTCTTCGTCTCAGTAATACAACCATTGCTAGAGTATGGCTCTCCCGCGTATTGTCCTATCACCCGCGGCGAGGTAGAGAAGATTGAGCGAGTGCAGCATGTAACCACCAGGCTGATTCCCAACTTGCGAGGTGTGCCGTACGAAGACCGGAGTAAGAAACTAGGGCTGTACACCCTAGCTTATGGTCGACTGAGGGTTGACCTCATGATGACGCACCGGATATTACATGTGGGAGATTACCCCATATTGAGGCCGCTGATTCATCTGCGCACACCAAGCAGCACACGAGGACACCGGTACAAGCTTGTCGTACCAGATTTGAAGCAGGTCGCTCACCAACTCTGTTTCGGACGCAGAGTGGTGAACATGTGGAATGACCTGCCGCAGCACGTAGTTGAGGCAAAGTCGGTCTCGGAATTTAACAAATTCTTGGACAAACACTTTGCCGACATAAAATATATCGAGCGCAACACAACATAATCGGTCCTTGTACTTGCGTGACATTAGGTGCAGCTACACATAGCTAACTCTACTTGCTGCTCCCAACCAGTAATCAGTACTTAGTCAACTCTGATCTGAGCAATAAATTGAGTTGACTTCGACTCGGCCGGTGGCCGAGCCCACGCGCGATTGATGGTGGTCACGTGACAGGGATGCGCCGTTACGGCGTACAGCTGGCGATTTTTTTACCCTGATGGTGCTAATCATTAGAAGCCGATAACACAGGTAGAAGACAAAATGCTGTCTAAACAAAGCTGAAGACCGGTTACAATCTTAAATTGGAGAAATTAAGCATTAGAATGGTAAGACCGAATGTACAATCTGTCTGATGGAGTTTTCAACCATTGATGTAACCGATTCTAAATTTCTTATCCGAAATGACGATACACTAGCCCTACTAATTATTTTGGTCTATTTTTCATGTTTTTCTAT